CAGGCTCTGCCGAGCAGCCCCTTGCCTCTGCTGCTGCTGCCGCCGCCCGAGGCAGGTAGGTCTCTCCGCTCCCGCCCCAGGCCTGATCCCCGAGGGGCAGGTGAAGGCGGGGGGGTATCCCTCCCCAAAACTCTCCCCCTCCCCAAATAACGCCCCCCCTTCCTCCTTGACGGCTGCAAACCCCGTTGGTCTGGCGTAGCAAAAGGAAGCAAAAACCTAACGGAGCTTTGTCGAGACTCATCGCACGGGAAAAGGTTGGGCGATATAGGGATGCCAGCCTCCAGGTGGGACCTGGGGATCCCCTAGAAGAATTACAGCTCATCTCCAGACTACGGAGATCAGTTCCTCTGTAAAAAACGGACGCTTCGGAGGGTGGACTCTGTGGCATTGCACCCCACTGGGGTCCCTGTCCTCCCCAGGCTCCATCCCGAAGTCTCCAGGAGTTTCCTGACCTGGAGCTGGCAACCTTAGGATCCCCCCTGTTAGATTTGCGTTTCTTTCCCTGGCTTTTCTCATTCCAAAGTTGACTGATGTCCTGGTTCCCCCCCACCCTTTTCTGGCTTGGCTGGTTGGGGCAATTGCATCCTTTCTGGAGGGGGGGGGGTTTATAGTGGCAGACATTTCTGCTGTGGGAGCCCAAAGGGAAGCCAGCCTCCCTTCGGGGAGACGAGAGGGGCCCCTGGCCAGAGGCAGGATTTGGGGACCCTGAGCATCGAGCTGTGCCCCCTGCACCCCTTTCCCCAATTTCTCCACGCAGACACGGATCGCGGACAGTTGCTGCCAAAGGCATGGAAAGTCAGTGTGGTGGGGGGGGGGGCCCTCCGCTTGGGGAGTGATGTATGGAAAACTCCTGTCAAGTCCACTGCTGAACAGGCTTGTAGGACGGTGGCGCGCTGCCCAAGCAGCAGTACCCTGCGATGACCGGTGGAGAAACCAAGCAGAGGATGTGGGAGTCACAGGAGGGACTGGCTGGGATGTTGCTAAGCCAGCCTTCCGCCTGCGCACCTCCGCCAGCACCTTGCGTGTAGCCTTCATCCCGGTGGCCCGGGGCTTCCCAGCGGTGCCCTTTGCCCCCTCAATCCCTGATCCCGGCTTATCCGGCCCTCCCCTCGGCCCCGGACAGTGCTGCCGCCTCCGTCTCCTCTCTTTGCTTCTGTTGTTTGCTTGGGGAGGGGCGGTGAGGAGACATGCCTCCCAAAGGGAACGGAGAAGGGAGGGGGGGGTCTCTGTGGAGTAGCCGATCTGGTCCCCACCACCACCAGCGCCCTCAGAGGAGCTGAGGGCGACGGGACCTGAACC